CTGTCAGAATTGTGGGGAGCGTCTTCGAGCACGAGCGCGCCCTCTGCAGCGCTGTCAACTGTCGCCGCGACGTCGTCTCAGAGGGCAGCACTTCCTGACTGACTCCAAGGGACATCTTCGTGATTGTCACCAGGGGGCTGCTGCTGCTGCTGTTGCTGCTGACGCCAGGGGGCTGTCACCAGGGGACTGTCGCTACTGCTGTTGCTACTGCTGCTGCAGCCGCTGACAGCCGCCAGGGGGCATCTTCCTGCTGTCGCCATGGGGCTGCCCGTGACTGTCACCAGGGGGATGCTGCTGGCTGTAAGCTTTTCGGGTGCATCTTCCTGTCTGTCGCCATGGGACTGCTGCTGCCGCTGCTGCTCCGTGAACTGGTCCTGGACCAGCTCGCAGAACGCACGCTACGCCACGATCTGCCCCCATGCCTTCGCGAGAATCTTGGAGAGGGCGCCGAGGCCGTTCAGGATGTCCCCGACCGCGAGGCCCTGCGACGGCGACCGGACCCCTGGCAACTTGCCAGTGATCTCCGGGGTGATGCAGCCCATAATCGCCAGCATGCTCACAAGGCCGTGCTTCGACTCTGTCTGGCGTCGGCGGGCGAAATCCTCCGTGCTGCCAGCCGCTGCGAAACCAGCGGGATCCCAGAAGCCCACATAATCTTGCACGCCCATCTCGCTCTCGACCGCCTCCCCCACGTCGTCCTCGGTGCCTCCGCGTCCTGCCTGGCCACGTCGTCCTCCGTCACCACCGCCACCACCGTGCGCCGCACGGAGAACCTCAGTCTGCAGCTCCGACATCGCCAGCTTCAGCTGTTCTAGTTCTGTGGCCGTGGCGGAGCAGGCAGACTCGCGCTGCCGCTGCTCTTCGGACAGCTTGAACTGCACTTCCAAAATATGCTGCATGCGGCCGCGGCGGCGGCCCCGGCCGAGCGGCTGGTCGCCGCGGCGGCGGCGACGCCGGCGGCGGCCGAGTGCAGCGGCACGCCAGGCGGCGGCGCCGCGGCGGCTTCGGCGGCCGCGCCGGCGGTCCGGCCCGGCGCGCGGCCGCCGCCCGCCGCTGCTGCCGCCGGCAAGCCGCGCGCGGCGACATGGCGCGGGCGGGGGGGGGGGGGGCCAAGACGACGCGCGTCTTCCTGGCCCCCACCAGGCGAACCGGAGGTCGGGGCACCTCCGGCCCCAGGCGCGCAGCCGGCTCGGCTCACCTCGAGCCAAAGCGGCCTTGAGCCAGAGGAGGCTACGGACTCTGGTGGGGATATTTTTTTTGTCTGCGGCCGCAGGCGAACGCGCCAGCGGCGAGTCCAGTCACAGCGGGGCGCGCAAAGACGAATTAACCTAAAGCGGTGGGCAGAAGTTTCACGCAGCACCTCAGCGGCCAGGCCGGCGAACGGCAAGGGGCTAACAGCAACTGCTGGGGCGCTGCACAGCCAGGGTGCACGCATGCAACGCGTTGCAGGAGGGGTTGGCTGCCAGGGTGGACGGCGGCCGGGGCTGCAAGCTGCGTGGAAATTAAGGTGCAAGGGCGTAGGCACCCGTAGGACTGCGGAAGTACCAGGGTGGCCGCAGCCAAGTAACCGACTGCCAATAGCCGAATTGTGTACCCAGTGGGAGCGTGAGTATCACCCTGGTGGGGATACATGTTTGGTCGCGGGCGCAAACGAGAGCGCAGGCGCCGTCCAAGTAAGTCCAGGTTGCGGTACCTACCAATTTACAGCGAAAGCAAGCGGCGGGCGCGGGCTACCGGCCGAGGGCCGAACTAACTACCTAGCACGGCTGCTCAGGCTGCGGCTGCACTGGACCAAGCACAGATCAACACTGCCGAGTGCAAGTATGCTGAATTGATGTGCTCACCGAGATGGTGAAGGGGTTAGCAGCAACCTGCCCACTTTCAAGCTGCAGAGCAATAGCCCAACCTGGTGGGGATACGCGAAGCGTCAACAATCACCCGAGGTGGACAGTGGGAAGGCCGACCTGGAGGCGGTAAAGATAAATTGGGCCAGCGGGACAGATGCGAACCATGGACAAGTACACCGCCTGCAAGAATACGCCGGCCCCTTGAGGGCGCAAAGTTGCAAACAAATGCTGCTGAGCGGAATGTTGTGTAGTTGTTGCATTATCGTGCCTCGCGATCGAATCTAGCTGATTCCCCCTGCACGCTAGCACATATGTTTTACTGTTGAAGTGTCCGTCCTGGGGCACGCAACCCGTTTTTTGAACGGCAAAGTGTTGCGCCTCAGACTGGGTCCTGTTCCCTGGGCTAAACAACGGATCAAGTCTGATACGTCCCTCACAAATAATTGAAGAATGGCACTCCCGCTCGAGAGTGCCTTGCCAGTTATCCAGGAATTGCGTTTTGGCTATCGCCGAAGACTTCCTTACACATGATTCACGAATCGCTCTCTAGGCGTTCTGGGATCGCGACCTCTCTCTCTCTCTCTCTCTGGACTTCCTCATGGTTTACTCATGACACGCGCTTTCGCCTGAGATGTCCTTGCCACCCACTCTTGCTACGCCTTTCTACTAACCTCTCGTCCTCCATTGTCGCCCTCATTCCCCATTGCCCCCTTCCCTCGTCCCTCCGTCCCTTCCCCCACTCACTTCTTCCTCGCTCTCTCCCTTTTCCATTGTATGCTTTTTCCTGCTTCAACGGCTGCGCCAAGTACACGTGACAGGGAAGGAGGGCTTTCCCCCACGAGGAGACATGATCAAAGACGAAGACGGAAACTATCGAGGGTTCGGGATACAGATATTGATTGGCACACGAACACATGAAAACAAATGCGCTTCCAATCTGGGTGCCCTTCCCGGGTCTTCGCACCTTGCTTCTTGCAAGGGGATGGAAGCCTTGCGCGATCAGACTGGGTTGAATATGCCCTCCCCCCCTCCCCCCCTCCCCCGCTTCTCCCTTCCCACTCCCCGCTCCTCTCTCCCCCGTCATGGCAAGGGTGCCCACAAGACCCTCTTAGGTAAAGACTGTGACAACACTTTTCGGACTGCCAAGAAGACATACTCGTCTGGTCTATCCAAGGCGATTGCGTTTAGTATTGTGGACGCCCTTCAGGACCTAGTGGCGGCCAACGATGCTGATGCTGACTTCGTTTTCGGGGCGGATCCGCAGGAGCTCCGCCAAGGATTGATTGCGTTCTATGTGTCCGACATATGTGATCGGAAATTCGAGGAGGCTTCTGATTTCGCGTTTCGCCCACGCAAGGGTCGCAAGGCCGATCCCGAGCGAGAGAGATTCAGAGTCTGTGAGCCTGCAATTGCCATCCTTGTCCTGTCTCAAGTTCCTGCTCCTCCTGACCCTGCCCTCTCCAGCGAGGTCGTGGCTGCAGAGGAGCAAACCTACTTGGACCTACTGGCTGAGGAGGCGGTGCATTTTTTGTCGTCTCCCCCCTCCTCCCCCGTTCGCCCTGAGCCTCCGCCTCCCCCGCCCCCGCCGTCGCCTCCCCCTCCCATCCTGACCGAAGCCCAGCTTCCCTGATCAGAATAAGGCGGACGGCCGCCCGCGCCAAGAAGGCGGCCAGGTTCCTCGCTCACCGCGCGCCCTGGATAACCCCAAGCGGCGTACTGCGAGGCGCGTTCTTTCTACCGCCCTCCGCCCTCGTGGGAACCTGGGTTGGGGGGCGGATCTTCCTTGTCGATCGATGTTCAGTCGTTCAGTCCAGTGGCGTTGACGTTCAGGTTTGTTACCAGGCCGCCCGCGTCTCCTGCACCTGCCTGCCACATTGGTACATGCAGAGCACGCCTCGCGCGAAACCGTCGCCGAACGAGAGAGAGCCACCGTCACAGGGGCGACGACAACGACGACGACGACGACGACGAGTGCGACGGCGACGATGGCGGCGGCGGCCGCCATGGATGGCGGCGAGGGGGCGGCGTTTGGTGCCCGGCCAGCGACGCTGATGCGGACGGGAGGCGCGTCCTGGGGCGCGGCACCGCGCAAAGAGCCGTAGGTCGTTCGTCCAGTGGATCGCCCCCCTCTCCCAGCCGCCCCCCCACCTCAACGCGCCGAACTTCGCGCGCGGCGCCGGTGCGCGACGCGCGGTTACCCTCACGAGGCCGCCTTGGAGGAGGGGCGTTCCGCGGCTGAGGCCGCGACGCGCGAAGCACGAGTAAGCTTCAGGCCCCTGGGGGTGACCGATCCCCCCCCAATCCCAGCTCTCATAGGAGAAAAAGGGGGGGAAAGAGGAGAAGCGCACTGACACAGGAGAGCCCATGCAGGGTCAGAAACAGAAGACGGGGATACGACTATCGGGGAAGGCCTTGTTGCACCACTGCGGGGTGCGCAATCCCAGTGGGCTAGCGAGAAGCCACGGTTCGCGGCAACGGTTCGCGGCAAGATAAGCCGAGACAACGCCCAAAGGGACGCGCATCACTCCGACATGGATGGCACTGTCTTTTGAAAACTTCTGGATTCGAGCGCCCCTCGCCGATGCATCGAGCATATCTCCGAACCGACCCGCCCCTCCTCGCCCATTTGGCTTTGAGGGTGTGATACCCGTTGAACAGCACATCCAAGAACACTGCCAGCGACAGAAGACCGTCAGCCGAGAGCCCGTGCCTTTCAAGACCGTCAGCCGAGAGCCCGTGCCTTTCAGTAGCAGTGAGGAGGAGGAGGAGGAGGAGGAGGAGGAGGAGGAGGCCCATTATACCATGGTACCCAGGGGCCCCTGATACACCGCCCATTTCGGCACGTCCGTCACGCGGATCGCTCGGTCTGGCAGGCGAAGGCCGAAGGCCTTGTATATCTGGCGGGCCGAAGGCCGAACGCATGAGATTCGAGGGGAAGCCTGGTCGGGGCGAGGCCGATCCCGCCCGGCCGCCATGCCGGGCCGCTTGGCGGCACAGCCAAGCGGTCATGCGGGTTCCCCTCCTACCGCCCCCTTCTCCGCGAATCCGCGGGGCGTCGGTCCCTCGCGCTCTCTCCTCCTAGGTCCCTTTCGCTCTGTCTGTGACCATGCCCGAGGGGTGACTGTGTGGAATGAACCCGTGTAATACCCTCATGTATACTCCTTATTATCCTGTCTCCTGGCCGTTTGCAGGTATTGGCATCGATCAGACTGTTGATCGCACAGGAGGAAAAGATCCCCATCTGTCCCTCCTTTCCTCTACCTCCGGATCAGGGGTTCTGTACCTTTGTACTCCAACCCCATACACAGGTTATCAGCCCTTAAAGCTCACCATTCACCGAACCCTGCGTCGCGATCTCGCTCGCAGCCCCGATGGAGCCCAGAGGGCGCATGCGCCGTAAGGGATCCTTCGAGGCTTCGCGTCCGAGCTCTCCGACGGCGCGACGGCTCGGTGATGAGTTGGAGAGCCTTGGAGGTGACCGTGTGGGTGTCCCAGATACCCCCCCCCCCAGCTCCGACGGACCCGAGGCGCGACTAGCTGCTGAACTTCGCCGCCACGCCGCCCACGGGGGGACGAGGATTTCACACGCCTACTTTCGACCCTCCATCTCCTATTCCTACGTCGGGAGCAATCCCTACTGCGTCGGGCGCAAGCCCCACTGGCCCCGATACTCCCGGGCGCTTCCGCGCTAACCGCCGTTGGACCAACAGCGCTGGCCCAGCCAGTCCTGCAACTGTTCCAGCGTCGGCGCATGCAGCCGCCTTCGAGGAGCTCGGTAGACCAGTGGCGGCACAGCCGCAGACGCAGCACCCCAAGGTATCATCACCCCGTCAGACACCACACACACACACACACGGCCCTAGCCGCAGCTCGTCCACACGTAACCGTCGTGAGGCCGCAGGCCCCTACGACGAGACTCGGTCGAGCCTGCGCGCGGCCTCCCAGAGGCCAAGCACTCCTCGCGAGAGGGTGCCCCAGGGAGCAGACGTTCCTCACCTCTTACTCTCAGACGACCTGCCGGCGGCTACGCCCGCCGCAGGTGAACTTGCTGAGCTGCGAGACCAGGTTGAAACCTTCGTGTGCAGGCAGCACTCTGGGCTAGTGCAGCGTCTGAACGCTGCCAACGCTGCTGCCCTACGCCAAGATTTCGACGGCGCCTTAGCGACCATAGATTCCAGGATCGCCGAAGATCGTCGTATCTTAGGGGAGCAACAGTTTCAGGTTTACCGTGAGATGTCATACCCAGGTGAACGGTATACGACGGTCGAGCACCTGCGCAACTACCTTGTGCTGATGGAGCAACAGCTTGTGATCGTCCGCGACACAGGCGTTTCAGCGGTCAGGATCCTACGCGATGAGATCCACGACCAGCTCCGAAACCGACCGCCTCCATCCGAGGCACACGACCTCGGCGACGTCCAGTCCCAAATCAATGATCTTCGATCCAACATGGACCACACTACGGCGACGCTTCGTGCTGAAGCGAGTACCAACTCGTCGACCCTGATCGGCATGTTGCAAAATACTGAGAGAGTCATCGCTCAACGGCTTGATGCGACCGACGCTGCCGTGCAGCCCCTCACTAACCGGATCTCTGTGATCGAGCAGCGTTTACCTGGTGTGCAGGACGCCCTGGCAGAGTTGCGTGTCGGACGAGCCCAGACTGGCCAGCTGGGATCTCCTCCTACGGTTTACGATTTCGCCAATTTCACTGACAGGTTGCAGGAAGTTAAGACGGCGGCGGACCACACGGAGTCTGAACTCTCCCAGGCCCTTCGGGACAGAGATGCTGAAAAAGTACGTGTTGAGGAGTGTCTCACACGTCTGGAAAGTGAAATGGACGCACAAAACGCCCGTCTCCGAGCCCACCAGCAACGCCTCGATCGGCATTCCCAACGCTCTCGGGACACCGACGACTCTGCACGCCAAAAGGTGGATCAAATACACGAGGACATGACGAACTGGACGAATCTACTGATTGACCACACCAACGACACTGCACTTCACCCTCAGCCTTCGCCAGGCCTCTCCAGGCCGACGGCAGCGCCCGCTGAAGCACCACACGCTTCTGCAGGACAACAAAGACGTACGTCACCAGGAGCAGCCTCCGCGGCAGCTTCCGCACAGACACGCCACGTGTCCCCCGTGCGCACAGAACCAACTACCGACGGTGTACCGATACCCTCACAACCACTATCTGCGGTTTCGGTTCACACTACTCTCCAATCAAGGAGTCAGACACCGTCCGAGCCCCTGCCTTACCTAAAATCACACAGCTGCTCGAGTGGCAGCAAAAGGTACGGAAGAACTTTGGGGCCGCTTCAGGGCGCCCCTCCAAAGCATATGCCTTCCTATGGGTGGCTGAACAGCCCGAGTGTACCTTTGAAGATTTACAAGACAGCGGTGAATTTGAGAGCATCGATTGCAAACTCGCCACTGCTCTCAGCGACACCTTGTCCTCCGATCTGCGCTACCAGATCAGGCCCATCGAAACCAGAACAAAAAGCAGGACGAATGCTGAAAGGACGCCAGATTTACTGGCACATCCTGCAGTCCTACAAAGTGACAGAGGTTGATGACGACCCACATGATTTTGAGCGCCTCAAAGACTTGAGGATGAGAGATGAAGAGCTGCACGATGCATTACAGAGTGGGGCGCTTTATTGTTGGATTGCCGAGAGGCACCCGACCCCAATATTCTAGAATCTCTATTTCGCACTCAGCTTCGCCGGCATGCCTGGATGAAACAGGACATGAATGAGTATCAACGCATGAAGATAAGCGACCCAAATCGCATCTACGATTGGCTTCGACAGCGCGCCCTTGACGTTCTGGAGATGAAACAACTCGAGAAGAATCAAAACAAGCTAAAGTACGAGTACGCGAACCGTTCTCAGGTGAACATCTGCGCAGCCTGGAAGAAACGCAACTGTCGGAGTGGTGACCGTTGCAAAGCTTTGCATGCCTACTCCAGGGATGGGAGAGACGGCAGATCTTCCCGAACATCAAACGCTGGCGGCAACGCTCGCCGCAACGTCTCAGCCCCTGCGAGTTCCAAAAAGCCAGGATCGAAGCCGTTCTGCTTCGAATTCGCCAAGCGCAGTACCTGCGCACGTGGTGATAAGTGCAACTTCCCGCACATGGCGCAGAGTAGCTTCTCCGTCCAGAACAAGCGCCACAAGGGTGACAAGTGCAAATATGCTCACCTCGCAGCTGGTACGAAGACACCTGATAGGAGCCCCAGCCGTCCACGGACTTCCAGTCAGGACAGCCGCGGCCGACCACCATCCCGCGGCTCAGGGAGCAGACGCTCTCCACAACGCGGGGGGGTTTGGAACGCGGGGGGCTCATGCAACCGACATGACCACAAACGCCAACACGACCGATCTCGATCATCCCCCAGGAAATTTGCCGACTCTCGCAGTCAGTCGAGAGGTCGATACAATAGATCATTACGATCAGCTTCCCGAGGAAGAGACGGACGCGGCGGAGGACATGGCAGCCCACGTGGCCGCGACAGATCATATGGCAGTGACAGAGGACGTGGCCGCCGTTCCACGAGCCGCAGTTCATCCCGTGGCTCCTCTAGGTTTCGAGCGCGCTCCCCTGCTATCAATCGCCGCCCACGCCGCTCCGACCGTAGTTACTTCATACGTGACAAAACTCTTATGGCCGTACACAAGGCCAAGACAGGATTTACCAAACCACGACGTCGGATACGTTTCGACACACACATCTCGGCAGTGGCTCCAGGGGCAGCACCAGCACTCTTCGCGGCGGCACCGTCAGCAGGGGCCGCTGCAGCTGCTGCCGCAGGTGCATGTACTGGTTCCGCTGCGGGCGCTGCTGCAGGCGCTGCGGCCGGGGCTCGCCGCCGCCGCCCACGCCCTTGCACTTCTTGGCCACGCGCTGGCGGCCGGTGGCGACAAGACGCCGCGCGGCAGCAAGCTCGTCGCGGACCTCGCCTGCGTGGGGCCAGAGGAGGTCCTTCGCAGCCAGGGGCTCCTTGCGGAGGTTGGCCAGGCTGTCGCGCCCCTGCTCGTCGAGCTCCTCCAGGACGTCCGCCGAGGA